TATTTGTTTAACAATGCAGATTTCAGTGTTTAAAACTTTTTTCATATATCCTATTGAACAACAAAAACTTGTGATATCCCCCAAAAAATACTTACGTGTAAAAAACTACGCCAAGTACAGGATTGCTGTGAATTCCTCTAACAATAAGTATTGATATCATATTATTGAGGCCAAGTACATAAGTCACTATATGTTTTCCTATTATATGATCTAGCACTGGCCCATTATTTTAATTATATTTTCAATATTTCCTATAACGTTTTCGCTACTCTTCTATGTTACTACTGCTTCCCGTGTTTAATTATGATTTAATGGTGATTTAATAATTAATAAAACTTTAGGTGATTGCTTATCGAGTACTACTTGGCGGGTCCGTGCATTTCTTGATATAAATTTGGTACAAAACCAGTACCAATTTTCTATAGAAAGCATATTAACAATAACTCGTCAAAAATAATTACGGTAAAAGCTTAATAACAAACATACAGCATTAGAATACTATGAGCACGTGTAAAGAGTAAGTACTTTGGAATTCCTGGCATGGACCCGCCAAGTAGTACTCGATAAGGAATCATCTAAAGTTTTATTAATTATTAAATCACCATTAAGTCATAATTAAATACGGGAAGCAGTAGTAACATAAAAAAGTAGCGAAAACGTTATAGGAAATATTGAAAATATAATTAAAATGATGGGCCAGTGCTAGATCATATAATAGGAAAACATGTAGTGACTTATGTACTTGGCCTCAATAATATGATATCAATACTTTTTGTTAGAGGAATTCACAGCAATCCTGTACTTGGCGTAGTTTTTTACACGTAAGTGTTTTTTGGGGGATAATCAACTACGGGAAGCAGTAGTAATGTAAAAGATTAGTGAAAACTTTATAAGAAACTTTGAAAATACAATTAAAATGATGGACCAGTGCTAGATCATATAATAGGCAATCATGTAGTGACTTATGTACTTGGCCTCAATAATGTGATATCAATACTTTTTATTAGAGGAATACACAGCACTCCTGTACTTGGCGTAGTTTTTTACACTTAAGTGTTTTTTGGGGG